TCTACCAGCTCTGGTAGCATCTAGGCACTTGACTGCTAACCAGAAGGCCACTCCAAGGTTCAAACCCACCAGCCACTCCTCGGAAGGAAGGTTGGGCAATACTACTTCTGTAGTGATACTGCCTCAGAAACCCAAGGTGGGGTTGCTATGAGTCGAATCTGACTCAGCAGTGAGTTTGGTTTTTGTCCCTTCAGCACTTGGAAATCCATTATATTTTCTATATTCAATACCTAGCAAAATGTGCTGCAAGGCAGGACATGAGATTAGAGATTTGTGGTTATTTAGAAAGTTAAGACGGTTTCTCTGCTCCCGCCCTCATTCTTCACTCATCTGTCCCCTTTTACCTTTGACTGCTTCCTATATTCAAGAATCTGGATGTGGATATTATTTAATCCTTACAAACTGAGTAAAAAATATAGTATCTCCACATTTTGAGATAAGAAAACAAAATTTGGTTAACTGTGTTGGCTGGGTTCTCTAGGAACCAGATGTCAGGATGGAATTAGAAGTATAGGAGATTTTTTGGAGGGAATAGCTCTGAAAGAGAAAGATGGTTTACTCTCCAGTAAACCATATTGGCCAGAGAAAGCCTTCAGATCACAGCACAGGTCTGACACCTGCGAGAGGAGAGGGTGAAGGAAGGAATACAGAGTAGAAAGAGCCTGGGACTATAGTGCAGAGTTGAGCAGGTCTCTAGCACAAAGATTGCCCATAAAGGAGTCCCATGTTGGAATGAAATGGCCAGAACTTCATAACCCTGTCATAAGCAGGGATTAACTCTGTGCTAGCCCTGGTGGTACAGTGGATCAGGCATTTTGCTGCTAATCAAAAGGTCAGCAGCTTGATCCCACCATCCACTCAGCAGAAGAAAGATGAGGCAGTCTGCTTCTGTAAAGATTTACAGCCTTGGAAACCTTACAGGGATCAACTTGATGGCAGTGGGGGCCTCAGCTCAAATGCTGTGGCTAGAAGCTGTTAGGTAATTGCACTTCTCACAGCTGACTGGCAAAATTTTTTTTGAAAGGAAATCCAAGCAGTGAACAATGGTGATTACTTGTGTAGTTTTTGTTGTTTGCCATCGAGTCGGAGCTGACTCATAGCGACCCCTCCCTGGGTTTCTGAGGCAGTATCACTACGGAATTAGATTGCCCAACCTTTCTTCCAAGGAGTAGCTGGTGTGTTTGACTTCTGGTTAGCAGTCAAGTGCCTTAGGCACTATGCTACCAGAGCTCCATGGTGGTTACTACAGCTACTTAATTCGTCACAAATCCTTACCTCAGCTGAGATGTGAGCCTAGGCCTAATGTCAAAACTTTTGTCTTTCCAAGTGGGAGGAATATCATTAATATAAGCAACCACTTCTAGCTTTTTTCAATGTTCTGCTATGTGGCCTGCTTACCAGCTCCCTCTTCTCAGCTATTGGTTTATTAGCAAGTCTCTGTTGGTCTTAGAATTTCTTGTAGAAGACTAAGATGCACCTAAACCAAGCCATGGTATTTTAAATAGATTCATATGCATGTGAAAGCTGGACAATGAATAAGGAAGACCTAAGAAGAGTTGATGCTTTTGAGTTGTGATATCGGTGAGGAACAGGGAAAGTACCAAGGACTGGCAGAAGAATGAATAAATATGTTCTGGAGGAAGTACAGCCAGAATGCTCCTTGGAAGCGAGAATGGCCAGATTTCATCTCACTTACTTTGGTCATGTTGTCAGAAGGAACCATTCCTGGGAAAAGGATATCATGCTTGGTAAAGGGGAGGGTCAGCAAAAAAGGGGAAGACCCTCAACGAGATGGATTGACACAGGTGGTTGCAATAATGGGCTCAGGTATAGCCAGGATTGTGAGGCTGGCACAGGAATGGGCAGTGTTTTGTTCTGTTGTACGTAGGGCCGCTATGAGTCAGAGCTGACTCGATAGCACCTAACAACAAGAGCAACATAAATATATAAAGTCATAAATAGTCAAATTTCATTAACTGACAGAGTGATAGGAAGACGAAAACAGAAGGGATTTTATTTATAACATTGATTTGTCTCATTTCCCTGCCTCAGTAAGCTTAAAATTAGTAATTATCTGTTGTCAGGTTGTACTTTAGGAAAGAAGAAGGCATTCCAGGTGATGAAAACAGCTCAACTACACCTGTGGAAGAGGGAATAAGTAGGGAATCTATGGGGATACAGGAGGAGATGAGCCTCGTTGGAGTAGCTTGTGGAGGGCAGAGAAAGATAAGTGGGAGAACCAAAAAGGCACCAAAGAAGTTGACACTTTATGGAACAGGTGTAAGAAGAACTTGAGCAGCAGGTATAGATCTTGGTTAAATCAGAGGTCTGGTGGCATAGTACCTAAGGGATTTGACTGCAAACCAGAAGTTTGGCAGTTCAAACCCACCAGCCACTCTTCAGAAGGAAGGTTGGGCAATCTACTTCCATAGGTACCACCTTAGAAACCCAAGGAGGGGTAACTATGAGTCAAATCGACTCAGTGGCAGTGAGTTTGTTTTGTTTTTGTTTTTGTTTTTTGGTTATCACCAATAGGCAGATCTTTTCTTCCTTTGAGAAGTTCTAAAGTTCCAAAAGGAGCTCTGGTAGCATAGTGCCTAAGGCACTTGACTGCTAACCAGAAGGCTGGTGGTTCAAACCCACCAGCCACTCCTCAGAAGGAAGGTTGGGCAATCCTACTTCCATAGTGATACTGCCTCAGAAACCCAAGGAGGGGTCGCTATGAGTCAGGGCTGACTCGACGGCAAATAACAACAACAAGAACAACAAAGTTCCAAATGGCAAATACTTCAGTTGAAGTTGGGTGGGAGGCAGGAAACATACTGGGCCCTACCCACCTGCTTGCTTATCTGCTTCTTTCCCTCAGCAGAATTTCAGAACCCAATTGAGAAATACTGCCTCATCAGATTTTCTTTCTCCAGCACAAGACTGGATTCCAGTGGAGGCAACCAGAGCAGTCACACCAAGGTTCCCACAATGTGTGGGATTTTCCTCATTATCTCATTTCTCTGAAATGAGTATCTTATCTTTACTATGTTTGCACTATCCAAATCCAAGAGTCAATTAGAAAGTTCAAGGGAAGAGTTGGTTTGTCTTGGGGCAAGGGGAGGATTAGTTTTCAGTTTTACAAATGTAAATTTGTCAAAATCACTTCATTCATACTCAAAAAACACAGGCAGGTGAGAGTATAAGGAAGGAGCTTAACTGGGATGGAAGTTCTGGAGACCCATCTAAGACTCATGGCCTCAACTTCCATCTAAGTAAAAGCTAGTGTGATGCTGTGGATAGATCAGGAGGAATTATAGTTATTGTTCAGAAATTTGCTTATTAATTTCTCAGAACTAGGAAACAAGTAGAAATAAACTCATTTTTCATATCACCAACTCACATCAACGCTTAAGAAAATTCCCTAGCCATTATTTCCTTACATGAGGCTACCTCAGTGTAAGAGTGCTGGATCTTTCAAATTACCTTCATTTGCATCCCTATGCACTTTCTGGCAGAGGGGAACAAGAAAAACCTGAACAGGATGTGGATTCTTAAGTATAAACTTCAGCTAGAAGTGCTAAGTTATAAGCAGCAAGTAGAGGCAGTGGTAAGTACTTAGGGACAGTGGCAGCCTCAGGGATTCCCAGCTAGTTTTGACTAACAGGATAAGTAATCTTGAGCTAGGCCAGCAGCTTGCCAGAGAGGACAAGCTTAGCTTAATGTCTGCTCACTCCCTGTTTTTTCTCAAGCTAGAAATGTCACGCATGATAAAATTTGTTTGAGCTACTTACTAATGGTTACATCCAAACACGTGTGCTATGAAAAATGAGCTACATAAGGACAGTTATCATGTAGAGATGAACAAAAACAAGGTTCACAATTCTACTTCTCCTGATAAGCTTGGACATGGTTGTGAACAAAATGACTGTCATTTGATGTGTACTTGCCGTCCTGGGCTGTTGTTCATAACTATATGAAGTATAATTGATAAGTGCCATATATGTTGGGTTATGCCTAATAATATCCCTTGAGCAGCTTTGAATTTACTATTTCAATGATTTGGGCTAACACACTACTAGGATTACCTGTTGACACATATAATTTTAAGTACAAGCCCCCTTCTACTCAGAAGTTGAATAGGATACTGAACTGATTACAGCACAAACAACTGTGGCTATTGTATAGCACACCAAGTCAGTGAAAGCTGTGCAACATCCAGGTGGTGGAAAGTGCTGATCAGGTTCTGAATTTCCAGGGAACAACAGTTATAACATGGTTCTGGTCCCTGCTGTAAAGTCTGAAGCTATATATATCATACCCAAATATGATAGTCCATTCAGTACTTAGAAGTTTAGATTCCTTTCACACATGTTTAACTTTCTCATGTCATAGCAGAAAGAAAAAATGACTCTATAAACAGGGATTTCTTTATATTTTTTATTTTTATAGGAAGCACAAGCCAATCAATATCTTTCCAAGTATAAGAAGCAGCAACACCAGCTGAACGAAGCTAAAGAAAGTGCAGAGATAGCAGAATCTCAAGTCAATAAACTCAAGATTAAAGCAAAAGAGTTTCAAAGAAAAATACGGCAGATACTCAATTCTGCTCTAAGCCTTAAAGCATGTGCATTTAGATCTTATGTCATGGCATGGATGAGTCTAACAAAAGGTTTCTTGTTTCTCTCTTTAAAAGAAGTTTTGTTGTTGTTATGTGCCATCGAGTCAAACCTGACTCATAGCGACCCCTCCTTGGGTTTCCGAGGCAGTATCACTACGGAAGTAGATTGCCCCATCTTCCTT